CCAAGCTGAGTGTCCATTTCTTCAAGCGGCACCAGAGAGTTGCTGAGTACAGGAAATATGTCCATGGGACGTTCTGTGCCGGTTGTGGTACAGAATTCTGGACAGGCCGGAGACTCATGGCTCACCTTCGCTCCTCAGCGAGGTGTGTCTCAGCTCTCAAAAGTTGCGGAGGACAGGTTTCCAAGATCCATGCTGGTTTTGGCAGTCGGCAACAAAGGAAGGAGGATGTAGAACAGTACACCCCGGCAGTCCCAGTTCAGACGGGAACACCACAGCCGGCCGGTCCTACTGGCCAGTGGAGCTGTCAGCAATCGCAGTTGTACGAAGCGCTTTGTACGATTGCTTTTGAATACAGTGACCCCGACTCCTTTCATGACCGTGTTTGCCAGGCATTGAGGACTCTCCCGCTTTACCCAGATGAGATTGGTACTGTCTTTGAGTTCCTTGAAGCTGAAATGAAGTTTCTTGTTGAGCAGGACACGGACCCCATTTGGAGCAAGGAGACCTTAGATCACATCCATGTGATCTGTGGACGGATATGCGACTGTGGCGCACAGACGAGTCCGACAACCACACACCTGCCCCCGCGCCAGGAGACCTTTGAGGAGTTCCAGCGCCTACTACAGGAGCTGGACTGGAATCAGTTACTGGCATCGATCCAAACCGAGCACTGGACCCCTCCTGAAGTCTTGTGTCTACCAGCCAACTGGGAAGCTGAGTGGAAAGCTGGTAGGGAGACCCAAGGAAACTCAGCCGTGCTAGATCAGCCTGCCGCAGCGCTCCCACAGGTCCTACAGCAAGCTTGGACAAAGGTAGCAGCGGGCATGGCAGTTCAGCTACAGGCGCCAAAGGCGTTTTGGAGCCACAGCGTGGCAAGGCCATTTGTGCCGCTGCGCAACGACAATGCAAGTAATTAGGCGGCGTACACCTCTGATCGCAAGCAAATGGCAAAATATATATATGTATAAATATACATATACATATGCACTATTATATACATACATAATTGGATTGGGGTTTCGGTGCCAATACCACTCCCAAAACAGTATACGTACTTGTTAAGGCCCCTATGGTAGGAAGACTGGGTCCGACGGTGTGATGGCGACATAGCTTGGCTACTCGTACTGATGCTTCGCTCATAACTCCAGAAGTTGGATGCGTGCTACCGGCGCAATCAGCAGAGTATACCTTGAGAACCGGATGATTTAAGCCCTGCATTACCTCAAGGACCCTAAACTATGGGAATTATGGTATATTCCTTATTATGGGTCATGCAGGATTTATATCATCAACCGATGGTCGGCGCAACACTGGCCACTGATTCTGTGCTCCGGACGTGGTGGTGCAGGAAGTTGCATCGAACTCTGCAGCAAAAGCAACTGATCACGAGCATACCTGTGCCGCGCATGAGCAGCCAGAACTGAACGTCAAGTTGCGTGGACCCGTGCCTCACAGCCCTTGAGGCAAACCACGACAGCCGAAGTCTTTGGCCCTGTCTCCATCACGAATCTCTCTGCATATACAGCCGAATCTCTTGGAAGAGCCATGGAGTACCCAAAGTAGTATTGTTGGTACCCGACACCATCTCTGTGGTGGAGCGCTTCCTTGAACCAGTATTCTGCTATTGTTGGTCACAGTTCTCCAAATTACGGTACCTTTCAGGGTCCTTCTTATAAGAGTGTCGCACCCTTTGGGCGACCCCAACAGAGGGCGCCTAACTAAAGAACTACCCAGGGACTGATGCAGTCATGCATGACCCTGGCTACGACTCTTATGTAGAGCACAGGGTACTTGCAGCCTCATAGCTCTTGCTGATCATACACGCTAGTCCAGAAGGTTCCTCATTACACATAAACTGTTACAAACCCCAATACCCCTGTTCTCGTTGTATAAACGACCCTCCAATAGCATAGCATGGATGCCTTACTCACATATTATACTATAGTTATAATAAGGAACCCCCAAATAGGATCGGTCTATTGTATAAGTGGAGTTCGGCCTGTAGCTCTCCGCAAGCTTCTCTGTGTCCTCCGTCGAGGTTTTTTGGCCTGAGGTGTCGGCGTGGCTTGCAGGGTTTAGGGTTTAGGGCTTAGGAGGTAGAGGCTTCGTTTAAAGCATCTGTAGGCTTACTGCAAGTTAATAGCATGCTGCTCTTACTACAGCTATGAATATCAGTACTTGCCGGGTCACCAGTTTACTGGTATCGAGATGATCGTTGCTCTTGCAACAGTGATTAGTAATGTTCCTGGTGTCCGCCTTGTCGTGTTGACGAGTTCTGCCGTAACTATTCGGCCATTCAGTTGTGGCTAGGACCCAGACCACTGAGAAACACCGAATCTGGCCATCTCGTGTTTCTCTTTTGGATGACATCCTACTCACCCAAAGGACAAGCACTGTTCTTCTAGGTGGGCTGACACGATCGTACATCAGCTCCTTCTGGTCTCTGTCGTATTTGTATAATTCTGCTACTTCGAGTACGCTCTGTCGCATATGTACCACCCACCCTAATGTAGGGGCCTTAATAACTAGAATACCCAAGACCCAAGAGAATAAAAGTTGAAACTTTCAGATCCGACTACCTTAGAAGAACCCCTAAGTTGAAAAGTGTAGTTTACAGCCAATAAGTTACTCAGTACTTGGCACCTTCTAGCGCATGCGAGCGATTATGACGTTGGCAGCTGTCTCCGGAATTCCCACGCCCAGTCACAAAACGCACACATCGCATCACAGCAGTATCCAATTTCTCATAACTTGTGGAACGGTATATAATACAAGTAACAGAATATAGCAATACTGTGTACATTGAGCACCAGAACAATGGCACTCTGAGATTTGGGAAGCTGGCGATGGCCACCTCGGCTATATCCTGGCACTTTCGTCTGGCAGTTGCCGACTAAGAGCTTCGAGACCATGTTGTGGGATGCAGGCGATTTAAGGCTTTGAGGCCGAATGCCGAGGATCAGGAATTACAAAAGTCGAGTGCTTATCTGTAGTTTTGACGAATCCAACGAGTCCAACTCTGCGTCGGCAAAGAACCGGTTTCACGAACCTTGCAGACCATACTATACTATACTACGTTTACTATACTATACTATATTTAAAAAAACTCTTCAAGCGCAGCTGCTGGCCTTGCTGCAGCCATTCTGGGCCAAGTGCGGCGGCACCCAAGTTGGTCAGTGGCATTCGACTGAAGCAAGTGCTCCCTTCTGCCAGGGAGTACTTTGCTGGCCGAGCCTCGCACGGTGTGGTTAGAGTCGCTTGAATGATGCGTTTAGCAGGTAACACCTGTTATACCAAAGGGTGGCCACAAACAGGTAGCGATGGTGATGGCCACTGCTTCACACTCGTTGCGGATAACAAACGTCCAGTGTAATGTTCCTCCACCGAGAGCTGTGATTGTGCACAGAGGTTGTCTGTCTGTCTGTCTGTCTGTCTGTCTGTCTGTCTATCCAACATTCAATCTATCTATATGTATGTCCTACTTGTGTGGGTGCCTACGCCTAGGTGTCTGACTGATTTACCTGTCGAATCATATCGTATATATACATATATATATATATACATATGTCCCTCTCTCTCTCTCTCTCTCTCCCCTTCCTTCTGACTGAAATGCACACACTGATTGGTAAATAAATAAATAATATATATATATATATATATATATATATATATATATATACACACATACATATATACATATATATATATATATATATGTATATATATATATATATAGATATATAGCTCGGTATAGATAGATGTACATATATGTTTATACATACAAATATGCTATATGCATACATACATATATATATATACATATATATATATGCACACATCACATATGCAGTTATGTGCTCACAGATACAAGTACTGCCCAGAGCAATAAACGCATGCCTGCATATCGTCAGGCTGGCATGTTGAATTGCCCATCCATGCGGCCTTTTGAAAGCCGCTAAGCAGTTGCGAGAGTTGTGTGCTGAAATGCCCACCAGTGTTGCCAAGACGCAAACAAGCTCCAACACCTCCGGTAGATATTAAAAAGCATACACATGCAGACAAATGTTGCAGAATCAAGTGGAGTCCACCATGATGCCGTGAGATGTGTTCTAATGGGAATAACTGAACTATGAGATGTCGTACATCAGGATCAAATAATACTTTGCAGCCCTGTTTGTTTGTATGCACACTTACATGTCCGGGTTCGCATTTGCTTTCCCTTGCTGTGCACGCCAAGTCAAGCCAATTTCGGTCTTCCAAGAAAGACATGCGCGATTAATATCTATGAACTACATATGCTTGTACATATGATAGCAACACAGGAAGCAAATACAAGTGCTGCACGTTCAGACCTACATCCACGCGTGCATACGCATACGAATACGCATGCACACGTAAACACATACACACTAATACAGCACACACACACACACAAACAGATTCACACACACACACACACATGCGGATACACCCATGCACACAGACATACATACATACATACATACATACATACGCGCATACAGTCGTCACACATACACACGTACACATGTTCTGTACATATGCACAAACATACATGGATGCATGCATGCACACAGACTAGATTATATACACTGATTACATTGCCTTGCACAATAGCATACAATACGCTGCACAATTCCCTGACACTGATTACAGTCTCTTATATTCCATGACAATACATTACAGTCTTACATTCCTCTACATTCCGTTACATTCCACTACATTCCATTACATTCCCTTACATTCCATTGCATCCCGTTACATTACATTCCACTGCAGTCCATTGCACCGCGTTGCGTTCCGCTACAGCCCACTATGCATTAAGTGTGTGTGTATATATGTATGTCATCCATTTTGACAACAAGGTTTTTGCTCTTACCATTACCAAGGCGATTACTCTGACTAACTTTTATATGCACATCTAGACAGAACCTATTCAGATATAGACGTGCATATCCGTTTTCCTCTCTGAAACAAGCTTCTTATAGATCTTTTGTCCAGTCGTGCCCACGCTTGCTGAGCCACCGGCCTGACCGGCCCAAATAAATGGCTCTGTGCGTGGCGAGCTATGTGAGGGGTGCTTGCTTTTTGTGGATGGTGTCCTTCGGAGTAGTTTTTTGCGTACATGTTCCTTTGCGCTCTGCACCGCTGGCGACAGTTTTGTGCAGCTCGCTCGCTCGGGAAGTGGCGTGCCCTTTCGTGCTCTTGGCTGTCGGGGTGGCTGACAAACTCGAGCCTGAAAGGCATGTCAGGGGGGTCGCAAGTACTCCGAGCCCTTGTAGCAGGACATCACGCCACAGGAGTGGCACTGGTCTTGACTAAATGGCATGCTTGCTCCCGCTGCAGGCTGTCTTTTTGATCAGCACTCATTCCGCCTACGCGGAGAGGAAGTGCGGTTCAGCAGTCTCACTCGGGCATATTGCACATCCAAGAAAAGCTCCGAGAGACGTCCACATCACGACTTCTTGTGCCCAATACTCCCAACAAGACAAGAAGCTGAACTGTGAAGAAGGCGAACCCCTCCCAGCAACCGAATCGGAGTCCAAACGTGTGGCAGCTACATCTGCCGATACGACCTGAAAGCGACAAGGCTCTCAGAGTTCTGCAGGGCGTACCAAGTTTGCTACTGCGATCGCCTGCCCGAACTCACTGTCCGCAGCCTTGCAAACCTGCCGATGCAGCAACTCTCTGTGCCCTTCATCTCTGTCGGATGCTTGCAAGTGACGCTTCTATATTAGCTGGAAGTGCTTGTGCTTCCCAAAGTATGCGTATACTGTATATATATATATATATATATATATATATGGCAGATGCATGCACCTGTACGACCGGCTCGGAAAATGAAGCTGCGCAACAAAAACTCTTACGAGGCATGTGATAGAAGGTCATACCATGTTGCACCTTCTGGTGTGCCAATGTATGTGTGCAAACGCGAGCAAATGCGACTAAGCACATAAGTAAGCAAACCTACAATATGCATATACCTATATTATGGATATGCGTGTGTGCTACCTTTGCTTCTGCATATACCCCGTTGTGTTTCTTGTTTCCTGCTGTCCTTGAAGCTTAGTCTGTTGCTGCTATCATTAGCGCTGGCTTCAGTATATAAGTGTATATAATCTATCATGTAGGTCTGTACATGTGTGCATTTATGTGCATAACATGCCTTACATACTACAACAGTTTTACAGCATGAATGCCAGTACTTCAGTGTGTGCACTCTTACGCACTTATGCGCATGGAGGCATGCCATGCATGTATGTTCATATGTGCGACATAATGTGCCTATGCCGACATGCTGCTGTGCAATGCGTTGTTGTACCGCTTGATCTTCACACTGCTCCATAAAGATCTGAACATATGCCTCTAGCTGTTTCCCATGTCCTCATAGCTTTCATTGCCACAGACCAGCACATCGAGTTCATAGTCATGATCACACAAGCATCTTGCTATGTAGTACTACTACTTGTCTGCCTCTGTGTGTGTGTGTGTATGGACCGTTACTGGCATTTTCAGGAGGATTGTCGCTCTGACCAGTGCCTGCTGCCATAAGATCTAGCAGTTGTCCTTGAGGCCAGATCCGAACAAAAACAACTGCAGTCCAACATCCAGCTTATCTTAGACATACTCATGGAACGGCCAACCATGACAAACTGCGCATGGCACACCCTGCAAATTCACGCTCTTGGGGATACCATTCAGGGGTCCCTCTTCTCTATAAACCCTGACCGCTAAACCCTAAACTAGGTCAGATAACAGTATACCAGGTACACTAATAGTTACTCATGTTCCCCCGTACTTCTATGATTACATACTAATATATTGACATACCAATTACTAAAATACTGATGTACTACCATACTGATATACAAACATGCTAATTAACAATATGCTACTACATTAATATACTAACCACTGTATATATATACTCTACTAATATGACTATATCCTATTAATATACCAACATACTAGTATACAAATCACGGGCACTCCCAGACCTCTGCTGTGGCGCCCTGTGCCCAAAGCTCCGCTTGGCAGGCATCGAGCATGATCCGCCCGGTGGGCCCATCGGTCACCTCAGGGATAAAGGGAACTCCAGAAAGTTGGAACATGGTTTCAGGGTAGGATACCTTACAATTTACCATAAAGGGTTTAGGATAATGATATTCCAACTTTCTGGCTTTTATTTTAATTCTGAGGGTTGAGGGTTTCGGGGTCTTCAGGTGGAGTGGAACGCTGTGAGCATTCACCTTTCAAACTCCAACATCCAATCTGCATCTGGCAGGCAAGATTAGGCTGCCGAAGCTCTGCGCAACGACACGCACAGCTGCCTGAAAACGCCCTGCAGCTGTAGGATGCCCCTTTGAAACGCATCCCAAAACCTGTTGGCAGTGCCCACCTTGCCGCCGGCCTGATGGGTAGGCAAACTGTGCATGCGGAGGGGTTGAAGGGATAAAGGCAGGGCTCCAAAGATCCCCCCAAAGTTCTAACGCACCATCTTTTTATTTGGCCTCGCAAGAGCTAGCTTCGGGACTCCCTGAACAAATCGGTCGACTCATCTTATCTCAGCCTTCTACATGCGAGTGATGAAAACAACTAGCCAGGCTCCACAACTGCCCGTGGTGTGTTTGTGTCCAGCGCGCCGCATTCATGCATGTCCAGAAGATCCTTGAACACTTGCCGCCCCAAACCGTCATACCAGGCCCCACTACAGCGGAATGAGAGTCCTACAATCTGACCGCGGCTAGTCGCCCCCTTTCGGAAACTCCTCGACTCCCCGCTGTGAAGCCCAAGTCGAGGAAATAAGAACACCAGTATCAGCAGCAAAGCAGCCTAGCGCAGCAATGATTCAAATTGAAAGGAGCACGCGGTGAGACCCGCCCTCCCCCTGCACGACTGAACCTCAACGTAGTCCACCGGGGCCGGCAGGTAATGGTTGAGCTCCAGCACGAAACGAGCCAGCCATTTCCCGAGGGACTCAAACACACCTGCCACGAAGCTGGGCAAAAACCCTGGGGTTCAGGAGAGCACCGAAAGCCGGTCCGTGCAACAACGAGAAGGATTCGGACTTCAGTCTGATGGATTACGAAGAACCGTAGTGCTCGTGCTGAGGTAGCATGGTGACCTGCTTCTCTTGGATGCTACTTTGGTTCACTGAGTTCATGTCGGAGGGTGAGAAAGACGGGCCCTGGTCATAGCGACCCTACATTCATGCAAGGACCCTTCTTAAAAAGACCCGTAAGAAACACCCATGTGGGTGATTGTCAAAATTAGGGTCCCTTTTTGGGTCCTTACTATAATACGGCACCTATTATTTAGGGTACCCCAAAAGGGACCATAATTTTGACAATCACCCATGTGAGCCGATGCCTCGAGAGGACTCGTCAACGTCGTTCTTCTGCATTGCCACCAATGCAGCTCTTTGCTCAGCTTTGCCGGTGATGACTTCCTTGGTGGGCTGGGCTAGGATCCACATCAGGCTTAAGGACGAAGTGAAGCATCAGAGCAGCAGTGTGATCTAAACAGTGTGGAGCCAGCACTCATCAACTCGAGAAACTGTCAATCAATGAGCGCAAGCCAACCCCCTAAACCCTAAACCTAAACCCTGAATCTGCTGGAACCAGATCGACTGGACGTCCCTCTAAACCGAACGCCGTCGAAAGAAGTCGGAGGCCAATCTCGGACAAAGACTCCCCGCCCCGGGCTGCCTTAGCTTGCAAAAACGGAGCATGGTTCAAGGTGAAAGCAATTCGGTAAAAACTTCCGGTTGAGGCTTAACGGCATCTGTGCTGGTGGGGTGGGGGCGTGTTGCCACTGCAAGTTCTGCCCCAGACCCTGGCAGCAGAACCTAAACCCTAAACCCTCAACCCCCTAAACTTACCTTTGGTTTGTAGGGGGATGGAGGAATGGGGTACAATTATAACTACTATTACTACCTTTCTTCCATTCCCTACTAACCAAAGGTAAGTAAAAAATCCTGAACACCCCCCCCCCCCCACGCCGCTAAATCCTGAACCCTAAACCCTAAACCCCCCCTAAACCCTAAACCCCTAAACCGCCCAAGCCGAGATGCCAGAAGGTTAAAGAAGGAGCGCTGGGTTCCCGCCATGCCCTGGGCGGCGGCCTCGACCCGAAGGCCTGGCGAGGGCCGGCCCAAAACCGTTTTGGGCATGTAGGGGTTTAGGGTTCAGGGTTAGGGGCTCGGTTGAGGAGTTTAGGGGTTTAGAGGTTTAGGGTTAGGTTGAGGAGTTTAGGGGTTTAGGGGTTCTGGGGTTTTCAGGGGTTTGGGGTTGAGGTTTCTGCCAAAGGGTTCCTACTGACGGGCTTGTACAAGAAGGGTTGAGGGTTCTGGGCTTTTCGGGGTTCGCAAGGCCTGTAAACGAAGGGTTGAAATTAAGGGCACACCATCAGGCTTTAGGGAGGAGGGTTTAGGATATACTCGGGTCGGCTTCGGGCCTTGAGTTTAAGGTTTAGGCACCGCTGCTCTTACTGCTACTGCTACTGCTACTGCTACTGCTACTGCTACTGCTACTGCTACCGCTACCGCTACCGCTACCGCTACTGCTACTGCTACTGCTACTTCGACGACGACTACTACTACTACTTCTACTTCTACTGCTACTACTCATTACTAAGCCCCGCACTACAGCCATGGAGTTTGGGTGTCCTGAACCCTTCTGCTACCCAGTTGCTGTCGTGGACAGGCACCATGCCACCTCGGGTTCAAGATTCTAGAACTGCAAGGGCTCTTTTGGGGCGGTTGGTGTAAATACAGGTTTAGAGCTTTGGGAACGTAAGGCTTGAGGGACAAAAGCAGATGCACGAAAAGGTACGTTGGCCTGTAGACTGAAGCTGCCCCTAAGCACAACAACCTGCAGCTTTCAGGCGTTCGCTGCATGCTACATGGAAGCTGACTGAAACTATGATAAACCCTTTCTGACACCTTCTGCACGAAAACAGGTGAACAGCGCCCACATGCAGCCACTAAGCTTTCGGAGTTCCGAAGGCCCATGACGAGCTTTCCCAGTTCCAGTACGCCCTCACTGCACTGGCCGTTCCAAACAATGCCTGCGACAGGGTGCTGCCAGAAATGCGAACACGGCGACGGCTTCTCAATGAGCTGGCATGAAGAAGTCGTGACTGCGTATTCCAGATCTGGCCGTTCTCTAGAACGGAAATTGTTCAGCGCATAAGTGCGCGGATCAGCCTAAACCTGACGTACACCTTACCAATGGCACTGGCAGGGCGGGAGCACTTCGCTAAGCTTTTTTGAGGCTGCACGAATTTCATCAATTTACACCACTCTTGTTGTGGGCTCTGCTTGTGTCGATCCCAGCCTCCAGCAAGTCCTGTTCCGCATGACAGAAACAGTCCAACTCGACCTTGCGCTAGCCCATCAGCTCCATAAAGGGCCTCAGCAACTGTAAACGTTCGCAGACCTGTGGCTTCGCTCAGAAAGAGTGTTGTTGAGGAGCAGCATGTCCAGACACGATGCAAGGCTGCGCGGGCATCATGGATGTATGCTTATGTACGTACGGTAGTGTCTAGGTACGTACGTAGGTAGGTAGGTATGCATGTGTCTTCGCATGTACTGCATACGCGTATGTGGATGTCCACGTATGTACTGGTATGTATGCATGTACGTATGGCTGTACGGACGGACGGGCGGACGGACCGGTGGAAGGGTGGATGCGTGCTTGCATGGTGCATATATGTACGCATGTTGGACCACTTCTGCCTGCTCTGTGTGTGTGCGTGCGTAAATATGTACACATGTGTATGTACACACTCTGTGTAACTGCACATACATGCATATATACATACATATATACAGGCATGTGTATCTATATATGTGTATATATGTATGTATGTATGTATATATATATATATATATATTACAGATGGACGGATGCACAGATGGATGGATGCATTCATGCCGGGACGAATGGATGGATGTATGATTGCAACTGCGCATGTATGCATGCAAGTAAGTGCGCTTGGAGCATTGCTGGTGTAGTATATACTGTCCTTGTTCTCAGATAGCTAAATAAACAACCAAATAAGCACGAACACAACCAATCGAACAAACAAATAAACAAGCAAATGAACAAACAAACAAGCAAACACACAAGCACACAAACAACAAAAATGCAAACAAGCAAGCAAACGAGAACTAGTCAGCTACATAAACAGATAAAAAATCAACAACTAGTTCATCTAAACTAGACAAACAAATACATGAATGAACATCTGTTGCTTATGTGTGCATTTAAATACACAACTGTACTCGTGCATGTATATATGTTAACCTAGCAACAGCATCACTCTTCTTGGTATGAATACTCAATATAATACATGTCCGTCCGTGTGTGTGTGTGTGTGTGTGTGTGTGTGTGTGTGTGTGTGTGTGTGTGTGTGTGTGTGTGTGTGTGTGTGTGTGTGTGTGCGTGTGTGTGTGTGTGTGTGTGTGTGTGTGTGTGTGTGCGGGGAAACATGCCGAAACTGCTGGGCAGCACTGAGAGCCCAGCTGAAGCCTCGCCATCATTTACCAGGGCAGTCACGCAATCTTTATCGACCTCAATGCAGGCTTTGTGCAGTGTTGTCTCTTGTCTAAGCTAGTTTGCATCCGGTCGGAACGTAGTTGCTATGCACTAGACTCTAGACACGATGACTTCTGCGGTGGCGGTCTATGTTTAGATAATCTGATGCACAGCGCATGCCGCATGCCAATGAATGTGACGTGCATCACGTTTGCCAGCATAAGTATGGTTTAAGGCGTGTGGTGCTCTCATGTCCCATCACACAGCATTGCACCGTTGAAACAATGTGCTGTATTGTGTGATGGAAGCTGTCGTAATTATGCTATCCAGCCCGTCGCTTCATTCAGTTCACATGATCAGTGACACGCTGTCTTGACTCTAGGGCCTTTGGCTTTCACAACCCTGTCGCGGAACCCCTTCTCCTGCCCATACCACAGCCTAGTTAATGCGAGGGCAGGGCCATATCGTATCTTGAGCTTAGCGGAATGTAGGGAATACATCCAGAATCGCTGCGGCGCCAAACGAAGATTCTCGCATGCTCGGCTGGTTCTGAATATCAGAATGATGCAGCAAGGTCGCTGCACAGCGCCTCGGCTGTCACATCGCATGTGCACGCCACAGTGGCGACATGTTTCAGTTTCAAGACCAGCAGTCTTAAACAGCCCTACGGGACCCTGGTTTCACAGATGTCGGAACTGTCTGCACCGTCTCAAGCCAAGCTGCTCGTGGATGCTGCTCAAGACCTTCTTCTCCAACACTTGCAAGTCCTGAAATGGCGCACGACATCCGAATCAACCTTCTTGCATCCCCTTGTCTGACAAGCTGATAAAGCCACACCATCACTTTGGTATACAGTACTGAGATGTACTGAGCACTATCCAACGACATCACTGTTTTTTACTGAGGAAGTGCAAACCATGATCTGCATCAGAAGTAGCACATGCTTCTGTTGTGGTCCTGCTCGGCTGCCTCGTGATTCACACCATCCATGGCAGGGGGGATGCCGCACAGCTTCCCGTTCTTGACGCAACCAGCAGCACTCAGACCCAATCCACATACATACTTTGTGTCGCAGCTGGGTACCTCAGCTAGAGCTGCCATTGCAGCTTCCGCGAGGTTGTTGATGTGCATCTTGTGGCATGTCAGAACTTGGGGATCTACGTACGTCACCTCTCCAGACTCGGCTGTCATCCACCATCGCGTCACATACTTGCCGATCAACTGCCCTGTAATATCCAGCACAGCAACTTTGATGTCTGAGCGACCGTAGTCCACTCCAACGAAGACCTGTTGCTCCGCGGCCAGGTGATGGGAGATCGGTGCGGGAACGCTTCGTGTTCCGAACGGAAGTTGGAGCAACTCTCCAATCTTATCCGTGTTATCTTCTCTAGCAATTTGAAGCGGCCCGAACTGAGCCAGGTTTTCTGCCAGCGCAGGATGTTCGGCAAATAGTGCAAGAAGCGAGGTCAATGTGTCCTCTTCTTCGCACACGACTCGGAGCGTTGACGTGCCCACGATGGCAGCAGCAATCGTTGCGGCGCGCGCGAACAGCACTTTAAGACCCAGCGACCGCTGCTCATCCCCTTTTTCAGGGATGGGGCAGTAATACACATAGGGGCTCTCAAAGTCGCTGCGATCTGCAAGTATCCAGACCTTTTCCAGCTTTGAGGACTCCAGCTTTGTGGCGACGTCTCGCAGCGGTTGCACGGCAAAGTCGGCCATGGTCCGAAGACGCGGGGGGAACCGAGCTTTGCAAAATGACATCATATGTTGAACTCCGAAGTACAATCAAGGCTCTCGGTTCAGTCAGACACGTGTGTCGCAGATCGTTGAAATCAAGAACATCTCCCATTCCAAGTTCAAGCAGTCAGGAATACGATCGGGGTGGTTGGGTGGCTTTGACATGCTCTGGCACAACAGCGACTTGACGCAGAAGGCAAGGTGAAGAGGTGCTTGAGCCACCAGCACCAACCCTGGATCCGGTCAGCTGAAGCTTTTAAGAGGACAGACAGACCTGACAGAAGGAACGTGGATCTAAACGGACCCCAACCCACCCCCGATGCCTCGGTCCTACACATGCAGATGGCTCTAAATGGACTGAAGTGCAGAAGCACTGAGACTCTTTTGTTCTACCAGCCACGGCGTCCCACTCGTGCTGGCCCTGGGCTCTCACTCTATGCGAACTTCTTGGTCATCATCTGAGGTACCAGGCTCAGGCTATCGTGCTGTAGGGTGCAGGGTTTAGGGTGGACCAGGCTCAGGCCGCAAACCATCAGTGCAAGCAGATGCTTAACATGGTGACGACTAGCTGATCAGCAGGCGGCAGCTGCAGCAACAGCAGATCCTGCAGATGAACCCACTACTACTAGACGGCGACGACGACATCGATACCACTAGCAGGACCACTGCCACTACCATTACAACCGCTACTACTACGACTGCGAGGACGACAACGACGACGACAACTGCAACTAGTACCACAAGCACTACCACAACACAACCACCGCCACTGCCGCTGCCCTGCTTGACGGCTGACAACACAACGCCCCCCGCCCTTTGTCGCTCGTTCCGAAGAGTTATTCTTTCAGTGCTACTGCTAGCCACAGTAAGATTTCCTGTATTGAGCATGATGATTAGAAGCCCATCCGAAGAGCGCAGCTTGAGAGGCCCGGAGCTCCGAATACGAAGAGCCGTGGCTCTGACTCGGACTTCTTCTCCGGGTGCAACATCGAGAAACACCTTCAACGGGTTAGGGCAGACTTGTTCAGGGTTTACGGCTGAATGGGTTAGGGCAAACTTGTTCAGGGTTTCGTTTCATCGCTTAGAGTAAACTTGTTCAGGGTTTGCAGAACAAGTTCGATGGTTTGAAAGTTTGGTGCATTACCTAGCTATGTAACATGAGTCAAACAGCAACAAGGATGCCAGCAGTCGAAACCATCATCCTTGTAGCAGTAGCAATACATGACAGTCTCCACAAAACGAGTGCCTAAGAAGGTAATAGTCCTATCGTATATGCCTCTGTTGTGTCTCAACTACGGGGGCAACGCACAAACCCTAAACCGCAAAAGCGGTACCTCCAAAACCAAAAATCCCCCAACAACAACCCTCTACACTATTTTGTGGGGTTCCTCCTTATAGTTTGAAAATACTATATCCCGAAACCCTCTAAACAAAGGATTTCAAAAGCAGACACTCCCTAAGGGCTCCGTTCGCCAAGTGGCCTGCCGCGCGTGCTTGGCGAGCCAAGGCTCGACCTCTGCCACACGGATCGAGTGAGCCCGTTAAGGCTCATGGGGCTTATAATAAGCCCATTATACTATAATTATGATAAGGAACTCTATATTATACTCTATATTAACGTACACATACGTGCTTATTCAGGGTTCTTTTCCTCTGCGCGAAATTCGGACCATGACATCTGAATCCCCACCAGGAGGAGAGCATCTGGTACCCGCTTGGGCTTTAGGGTTTTTGGCTTACGGCTTGTAGGGCTTGGGGCTCAGGGTTTGGGGATGTTTGCAGCTACAAAAGGCTTATGTGGCCGACAGGGTCCACAAAGTTTAAAGTTTAAAGGGCTAGAGGGTTTATACTGCAATACTACAAGTTCTAACTGCCTATGCCAATGTCTTTCGTATGCTTGAGCGAAACATGTCGATGCATGGTTGCTACGCTTATCTGTGTTTTTTGTGTGGTCTGTACTATACTAGCGGTTAATAGCGGTTTCGGCTTCCATCGGCATTCAGGGTGTGAAAGCATGGAGCCTACGCCGGTATACCCGGTATGCCGACCCAGGACACACAGCTGCAACAATCGCAATTATGCCGCATGGCAAATACGCTGATAATTAGAGATCACGTCCGGATCAGACCATATCCATTGCCGCAGTGCATCCATGGGCCAACCATGATCACGTCCAGATCAGACCATATCCATTGCCGCACAGAGCATCCATGGGCCAACCATGATCACGTCCCGATCAGACCATATCCATTGCTGCAGAGCATCCGTGGGCCAACCATCATCACGTCCAGATGAGACCATATCCATTGCTCTTGCTCTTGCTCTTGCTCTTGTTGTTGTCGTTGTCGTTGTCGTTGTCGCTGTCGTTGTCGTTGTGGTTGTGGTTGTGGTTGTGGTTGTGGTTGCGGTTGGGGTTGTGGTTGTGGTTGTGGTTGTGGTTGTTGTTGTTGTTGTTGTTGTTGTTGTTGTCGTCGTCTTCGTCGTCGTTGTTGTTGTTGTCGTCGTATTCGTCGTTGTTGTTGTTGGTGGTGTTGTTGTTGTTGTTGTGGTTGTGGTTGTTGTTGTTGTTGTTGTTGTTGTTGTTGTTGTTGGTGGTGGTGGTGGTGGTGGTGGTGGTGGTGGTGGTGGTGGTGGTGGTGGTGGTGGTGGTGGTGTTGTTGTTGCTGTTGTTGTTGAAGTTGTTGAAGTTGTTGTTGTTGTTGTTGTTGTTGTTGTTGTTGTTGTTGTTGTTGTTGTTGTTGTTGTTGTTGTTGTTGTTGTTGTAGCCGCTATGGATCACAGCAGGCTGTGTAGCTTTGCTAACAAGGCTCTGGGTACCAACGCTAGAGGCTCGCAACGTGCCCCTTCTGCGAAGCTTAAGGGACCGTCCTCTTACTGAGCCATAGCTGTTCCCGGAGCCGCGTGTCGCTGTGATCTACCGGGTCCCAATTCCCGGGCCTCTGTCTGCAGTTGTACAACCTTGGCATGAGGTAAGCGGTAGTGGTTTTCACCTTTTCCGCAGGGTGAAAGGAGTCGGTTCGAGTTCTCTCTTTCCGGCGAAACTAGCGGACGGCGCAATCGCCAATGCACCAGCATTCATTTGAGAGCATTCGCAAGAAGGCCTTTCGCAAGGCTTGCAATAAGGTTCATAGAACACAAGAAAGCATCCCGTACCGGAATGGTACGTTGACGCCTGAACATCTGCGTCGCAGTGGACTCACCCCCCCCTCCCCTCCCCCCCTCCCAGTGCAGCCTAGCTCCACGATTTCTCCTTCAGGTCCCTCAGGTTTCTCCGCCAGTTTCCGCTCGCGCCCGAGAGGCGGTCGTGCCAGCAAGTCTCTTCGTGTTCTTTCCTGGAATGCAGGGCACCTTGGCATGCAACAATGGGCAGAAGTGAAGACATGGCTTCGCACGGAGGCCAAGTCAGTCTGTGACATTCTTGTCCTTCAGGAAACCCACTGGAGTGAGACAGCAGAATTTGATGTCGAAGGCTGGCACTGCGTAAGCTCCGCCACAAAAGGGGCTGCTCGAGCACCTAAAGGTAAAGCCACTTCAGGGCAACGCCCCAAGCAAGGCGCTGCCACGCAGCCGGCTGTTCACGACACAAGCCGAGCGGACGGCGTCATGGTTCTTCTCTCTCCGCAGATAGACAAGCAGAAGATAAGATGGCGCGAGCAACGCCGGGGAAGGCTCATTCAGGTCATCTTCCCGTGGCTTGGGGCTCGTGTGCATGTACTAGCGGTTTACCAACATGCCTGGTCTTCTAAGAAGACTCCACAGCAGAACAAGGATGACCGCTCACACCTGCTCCGCGATCTGTCGGCTGCGATACGGGCCATTCCAGCGCGAGATACTTTTCTCTTGGCAGGAGACTTTAATGCTCGACTGACCCCGCAGGAGGGTCTGGTAGGTCAGTGTAGCACCAAGCCAGAGCAAACTCAGATGCAGGATGAATCGTTCCAAGCCTTAGTCTCCTCCCATCGGTTGGTAGCTCTTAACACATGGTCTAGTGGTGCAGGTCACACTTTCTTCCTGAATGGTCAGGGATCACAAATTGACTTCCTGCTCACTTCAGAAGCCTCGGCCAAGGGCCTGGCAAAGCAGTCTCGGCCGTGCAAGGATCTTCAGCTCGGCAAATGGAAGAGGGGCGGCCACCTTCCAGTCTTGGCTCAACTCAGACCCACCCAGCACTGGAATCTGCCAAAGCCTACTTGTCCTTCCACGACCTTTCATAAGGAAGCTCTAGAGACGGCTGTCCGTTCAGGTCTGCCAATAGCCGGTCGCATGCAAGACTGGGTGGGCCAGCGTCTGTCCTCTCGGACTCACACGCCTGATGAAGTTAATCAGGTACTGCTGGAGGCCTCTGCACTGTTTTTCCCCAAACCACGGCCTCAGCAAGCTCCTGAAACTGCTCAGCACCGTGCGACGCTGCGAATGTGGAGTCGAGTCGCTCATATTCGTTCTTTGCATGAGGACTCCATAACCACCTTATCCGACCTAGATCAGTCTTTGGAGGACCTGAATCGATGGCATAAGCAGGCTCTCTACTTAGCCAAGAAGGAACGACACCGAGCTTTCCAGGCTGAGGTCGATGAGGCGTGTGCCAGACACGATTCCTACATCGCACATAAGACCTTAAAGAAGCTCCGACCTTGGGAACCCCAAACTAAGGCACAGCTTCAGGGACCGGATGGTCTGCTGTTGGACTCTACCTCTGAGCTCCGCCTGCTTAGAGACCACGTGGAACAGGTCTTTGCCAGACATCCGCCACTCGCACACCAGGTGGACTCGCTGCCGGAAATCCCGGCTGGTCTGCTGGCCAAGCACATAGGCTCCATCAGACCGCACAAGGCGGTACCGCAAGGCTCTGCTCCGGCGGCTGCCTGGCGGCTCTGCTCGGCGGCTGCGGGAGAGGCGCTAGCAGCATCGCTGCAATCTCGGGGGCAACGCCCATTGCCGGCTGCTGAGGTACTTCAGCCGCCCTTAAAGGATGCTGACTTGTG